CTGCAGCAGCAACAGCAGCAGCAGCAGCAACAGCAGCAGCAATAGCAGCAGCAGCAACTGCGGAGGGGACAGTGAAGGAAGATGTTAACTCTCCTGCGCTGCACTCACCTCCCTGTGGCTGCTGCAGCCTGCTGCTGCTGCAGCAGCAGCAGCAGCAAAATGCCCTATCACCTGCCGCAAGAAAGCAGCCTTAAGAGCAGGCGAAGCAAACCGCAAAACCTTCTCGCATAGACAGTCCGGCTGCAGCAGCAGCAGCAGCAGCAGCAGCAGAAACAGCAGGTATATAATCACACTCTAGCTGTAGTGCCGTTGCTCGATAGCCGTTGCTGTTGCTGCTGCTGCTGCTGCTGCTTCTCCGTTGCCGCCCGCAGCAGAGCAGCGGGAATTAGAAGCAGCAAGGCAGCAGCAACAGCAGCAACAGAGGCAGAAGGAGAGGCAGCAACAGCAGCAGCAGCAGCGGGAACAGCAGCAGCAGCAGCAGCATTGACATACAAGAGAAGGTATGAAGCACCACCATCGGTCTTGCGGGGAGATCTGCTGCAGCAGCTGCTGCAGCCCTCTGCAGCAGCTAGCTGTTCTGTCAACATGCCGCAAGATGCAGCTGCTGCAGCCGTGTCCTGCTGCTACTGCTGCATCGCTGCAGCAAGTCGAGTGCTCGCTCAAGGATTCTGCTGCCTCTGCTGCTGCTGCTGCTGCCTCTGCTGCTGCTGCTGCTGCAGCTGCAGCAGCAGCGGTCGCAGCACGGTCAGCATGCGCCGTGCTTACGCCACACAACTCGGATTGCTGTTGCTGCTGCTGCTGCTGCTGTTGCAGCAGCTGCTGCTGCTGCAGTTGTTGCTGCTGCAGAGATGACCCTGGAGCAGCAGCAGGTGTTGCTGCTGCAGCGTCAGCAGCCAGCTGATCTGCAGCAGAGATAATGCGCGGCACCGTGCAGGAAGCAGCAACAGCAGCAACAGCAGCAGCAGCAGACCCTCTCGCTCTACTTGCTGCAGCTGCAGGCTCGCTGCTAACAAATGGTTCGGCCATAAGAGATAGCTGGAGCTTCCTACCCCTAAGGGTTGTGTTGCTGCTGCTGCTGCTGTTGCTGCTGCTGCTGCTCCTGCTTCTGCCGCTGCTGCTGCTGCTCCCGTTGCTGCTACTTCTCCTTCAGCCCCTGCGGCTGTTGCTGCTGCTGCTGCTGCTGCTGCTTCTACAAATACTTCTCGCCTACAGACAATGGAAGTTACTGTGGGGCTGGTGGCGTTGTAGTTGCTGCTGCTGCTGCTGCAGCTTCTGCAGCTTCTGCTGCTGCTGCTGCTGCAGTTGTTGCAGTTGAGCAGGGCGCCTGTTCAGCGCCTGCCGCTGAGCGCCACAATTTAAGTTTAGTTCTTGCTGCTGCTGCTGCAGGTGCTGCTGCTGCTGCCGCTGTTGCCGCTGCAGCCGTTGCTGTTGTTGTCGATGCTGTTGAAGTTGCTGCTGCTGCTGCTGCTGCGGCATGTGTGCATACACACTTGAGCTTAAGCTGTTGCTGCTGCTAATGCGAGAAGTTTGCTGCCCCTTTTGCAGCTGAAGTAGCTGCAGCGCCTGCTGAGCTTTCGGTCGGCGCTGCTGCTGCTGCTGCTGCTGCTACTATTGTTGCTGCTGCTGCTGCTGCTGCTGCTGCTGGGTTTAGGCGTGCGTGTCTCTTAAGTGCTCTGAAGTCTGTTGTTCTGTGTAGCTATTCTTTTTGGATAGGAAAAGAGCAGCAGCTGCTGCAGCTGCAACAGCGGGAGAATCGGCTTCAGCAGCAGCAGCAGCAGCAGCAGCAACAGCAGCAACCGTCAGCGAGAAGCTTCTGCAGCACAAAAGGATGTACAAAGAATAAACATTAACATCAGCAGCAATAAAAATCACAGAGAAGATATTCAAGAATTTATACAAAGAAGGGTTGCTGCTAAGGAAGTCCATAGGGCTGGGCTGCTGCTGCTGCTGCTGCTGCTGCTGCTGCTGCTGTTGCTGCTGCTGTTGCTGCTGCTGCTACAGGGGCAGCAGCTGTTGCTGCTATTTCTGCTCCCACTCAAAATGCTAATAAATGCAGCAACAGCGCATGCAAACTCAAGCTTAAGTAGCTACACTCCAAGCAGCAGCAGCAGCAGCAGCAACAGCAGCAGCAGCAGCAGCAACAGCAGCGAGAGACCCCTCTAAAGGTCGTATATATCATCTCCTATATGTAGCAGCAGCAGCAACAGCAGCATATAAACATCTGTATATGCATTTGCTGCAAACTGTATAAATATATAAATATATAAATATATACATATATATATATATATATATACAGCTGTATATATAATATATATAGACATCTATAGACATTTGCATCTATATATATAGATATAGACATATATATAATATAGATATAATATATATATATTTCTATATCTCTATATATAAATTATATATTATATATATAGTATAATATAATATATATAATCTATAAGAATGTATCTATCATATATATATATATATATATATATATATA